CACTCAAGAAGAAACATTATCCAAAAAGTCTCCCACCGAAGTGTCACTACTGTTCCCACTGTGGGAAGAGCTTCTCCCAGATCGGACACTTCAACGTCCACCTGAAAATTCACACTGGGAAGAAGCCTCACCAGTGCTCCCAGTGCGGGAGGAGCTTCACAACCAGCAACCAGCTCTCTGAGCACCTGCACACACACGCCGAGGAGAGGCCCCATCAGTGCGGCCACTGTGGGAAAGGCTTCATGCGGCCGGGGCGACTCCGGGCTCATGAGAGGATTCACACCGGAGAGAGGCCGCACCGCTGCTCTGAGTGCGGGAAAAGCTTCAAATCCACAGAGGAGCTGAAAATCCACCTGCGCGTCCACACCGGACTCAAATCGCACTTCTGCTTCTGGTGCGGGAAGGGATTCGGCCGGAGTGGACGTCTGAAAAAGCACACGCTTATCCACACTGGAGAGAAGCCCCACTTCTGCTCCCAGTGTGGCAGGAGGTTCTCTCGAGCGGACCACTTTAAAAAACACCTGGAAATCCATAACAGGGGAGGGAAAGAGCTGGAGCGGAGTGGGCAGAACGTTTCAGGGCTGAATGTGACTTAAAGATGGAAGTGCACTTTTTTCCTGTATATATTTGACTCCAAGTATATATTAATATATATATAATATATTGTATTGTAGAAAATAAAAAAGTTTGTGCTGCTACAGTACAGCGCGTTTGGGAGATTTGCATTTTGCTTAGAAAGCAGGGAGGACTTTAAGTTTCATATATAAAACTTTACAAAAAACAAAAATAAAAGTTACTTCAGCTCTCTAACTCTGACTGACCTGCTGTTTTTCATGTCTCTCTTTCATCTAAGTTGCCAAATATAAAGCTTTTTGGCTCAAATTCACTAATCTGTCCAAGAAAGTAATAAATAGTCACATTTCTCTCCACTGTAGCAGATCAATGAATCTTTCCTTCTTTCTGCAAAAGGCAATAACAAATCAATATCTGCTCTATACAGAACAACATTCTTCAGCTTTTTAAATGTACATTTGTTCCTGTTTGTTTACAGCATTAATTCAGTTGTGGAAACATATAGTATTCTGTGGTTCAACTGACTGGAGTTTCAAATCACGCTCGTAACTGAAATACAGGCTTTTATTTTGAAGTCACTCTCATTGCGTGAACGGAGATTTCTAAAGATGTTCATAACTTGAATAAACATTTTTTGAAACAGTGTTGTAAAAGTTTATTATTATTTTTATTTTTTTTATTATTATTATTATTATTATTATTATTATTATATAATTCTGTTATAGGAGCATATATTTTTAATTTTATTCTTATTTTTATTGATTGTTTAATTTTTATTTTATTTACTTCTGTAAAATGTCTGTCTGATACTCTGCACTGTGAGCTCCTGTAACCAAAACCAAATTTCTTGCATGTGTAAGCAAACCTGGCCAATAAAGCTTGATTCTGAAGCTTGTAATAATAAATATTATTACTATTAGTAGTAGTAGTAGTCCAATAAATATATCTCTATTATAAATATAGATATTTTGAGACTTTATTATAGGAGCTTATTATTATTATTATTATTATTATTATTATTATTATACTCTAACTCTAGAGATGTTTTGAGACCCTCTTCAAGTTGTTTTTAGGGACTTTTATCTTGAAACTGTCCTTATCAGCCAGCCCAGTCTGGTGCGTTTTACTTTGTTAACCTTTATTTTGAAACACCATGAGTGCGGACTTTTATTGTGAAACTCGAGCTGAATGAGGTGCGTGTCGGTGTCCCGCTGCTCGCCTTATCTGTTTGAGCCGTGTTTGTCGGACCGTCATGCTGACGGCGGGTTAATTCACTGTAACGGGTTAATACGGTCCGCGGATCCAGAGACTCGGCCATGGCGGGAGGTGAGTGAGAGAGGATCATCCGGTATCGGGGAGAAAGAAAGGCCCGCGGCGCCGTAACGGGCCGGTTAGAGCTCCGGTCTCCGCCTTGGAGCCGGAGCCCGGAGCCGGAGCCGGAGCCGGAGCCGCGGCTGCTCTGAGTCTTTATTAATGTGGCTTTTATTCCTGTATGAACTGATTCTTATTGAGCTGAACCGACTCAGTGAACACGGCTCTGTTTACACTGCGGCTCTGTATCGTTACTGTTATAGCTGTGGTTTACATGTCAGCTGATTTACCGTAAATACACTCAACACAGATGGTTTGTGTGGTTCTGTATAGAACCTTTTTCAAAGTGGTTCTGCTGTAGCTACGATGTCAAGCTTGTAACAACAGCAGAACCCTTTCTGGTACTATATGGAGCCATTTTCTATCAATCGGAAGAACCATTTCACCATGGAAAGAACCACTTGAGAATGAAATGATTCTATATAGAACCCATGGTTGTAAATAGAACCGTTCCCTTTAGTAAAGAACCATTTTCTTAAAGGGGGTATTTACAGTGTTGGGCTGCACTGTAAATATGAGAATGACACCAGAATTGAAAGGCACGGTTCTTCAAGGGTTCTTTAGTAAAGAACAGGGTTTTGCATGATTAAATGGTTCTTTGCATGGTGAAAAGGTTCTTCAGATTGATTGAGAAATGTTGTATATGGTTCTACATAGAACTTTTTTTGAGAAGGGTTCTATGTGACACCAGAAAGGGTTCTACTGTTACAAGCTTGACATTGTAACAATGTATTTTATAGCAGAACCCTTTTGTGTACTATAGAGAATCCTTTATTAGAAAGGCTCTATATAGAACCATGTAAAGCACAATCTGAAGAACCCATATCATGATGCAAAGAACCATTTAGTCATGCAAGGGGTTCATTAAGTGTTCGTGGTTCTATATAGCACCGTTTTCTTTACTGAGGAACCCTTAAAGAACCATCTTTAAGAGCGTACTTTTTTATTGACCTTAAATTGTTTCACATTCATAACGAAGCTCAGAAAAGGCCACAGCCTGGACGGTTCTGTAGACGCAGCGTTACGTTTGAGGATCTTTTCAGGTTCCTTCGATATTGATGACCTGTGCGCTGTCACTGTTAATGCTAACTGACCCGAGCAGGCCGGATCTGTCCACGTTCTCCGGTAACCAGCCTGTTGTGCTGCGTGTCCTGCAGAGCCGGTCAGTCTGGTGTTTAAGCTGTACTGCTTGGTGGTGATGACTCTGGTGGCCGCTGCGTACACGGTGGCTCTGAGATACACCAGGACGGTCTCGTCAGATCTGTACTTCTCCACCACGGCAGTCTGCCTCACCGAGATCATCAAACTGTTCCTCAGCCTCGGGATGCTCGCCAGGTAACCAGCTCGGACCGCACTGTCCCTGATCACAACACAGCCACTGTATGACTAACACCTACTTCACCTTCTGATATTTACATTTACAGCGTTTAGCAGACGCTCTTATCCAGAGAGACTTACAAGAAGAGCTTTGTCTGATATTATTGATTAGTTTATAATGACAGCTGTGACAGGCGTGTAGCTCCAGTGCAGCTCTACGAAAAATCTAAATAAACTACTGTTAAAAAGGGTTAAACTCATCAATAACTACATAGTAACTCTACTATTTGAAGGGTTAAACTGATCAATACGGGTTAAACTGATCAGTATGGGTTAAACTGATCAATAAGGGTTAAACATCAATAAGGGTTAAACTGATCAATAACTATGTAGTAGGTCTACTTTTTAAAGGGTTAAATTAATCAGTAGCTAAATAATAACTCTGCTGTTTAAAGGGTTAAACAGATCAATAATGAAATAAGGAGCTCGTTCAGGAGAGCAGAGTGTATGTAGTGGAGTTGATCTGTTTATCTGCGTGTTCCCAGCGTTCCTCACTGCACTGATAATCAATAGTTAATCTCTCTGAGTTCCCGTCTGTCGCAGGGTGAGAATATCAGTTGAGTCCTCATTGTAAGGTCCTTAAAGCCTCTGCAGCTCCTACAGTGTTCCGAGTAGTTACTAATGTTACAAACAATGACCACTGAACAGAGAGGAGACCAAACCACCGCTGACCAAACCACCGCTGACCAAACCAGAGCTGTGTATTAAAGCTCTAATTAGAACTGTGTGGGCACATTTAAAACTCTTTAAACTGAGGCTCTGTGTCTGATGACGCCCTGTGACTGTGGACACAGAGCTTTAAGTGCTGAGCCGTCAACATCACAGCTGGACCTTTGTTTACATTGGTGTTATAGATGTAGTTTGCTGATATTAGTTTAACAGTCAGAGTTTGAACCTCAGACTCCATTTCACCTCTTTCACCTGGTTTAATAGTAAATCTACTGTGTAAAGGGTTAAACTGATCAATAACTATGTAACAAATTTACTGTGTAAAGGGTTAAACTGATCAATAACTATGTAACAAATTTACTGTGTAAAGGGTTAAACTGATCAATAACTATGTAACAAATTTACTGTGTAAAGGGTTAAACTGATCAATAACCAAACAATAATCCTGCAGTTTAAGCCATTAAAAAGATAAATAAATGAATAATAATCCTGTGGTTTACGGGGTTAAACAGATTAATAAATCAGTAATAATCCTGTGGTTTAAGGGGTTAAACCGATTTATAAATCAGTAATAATCCTGTGGTTTAAGGGGTTAAACAGATTAATAAATCAGTAATAATCCTGTGGTTTACGGGGTTAAACCGATTAATAAATCAGTAATAATCCTGTGGTTTAAGGGGTTAAACTGATTAATAAATCAGTAATAATCCTGTGGTTTAAGGGGTTAAACAGTGTTTGGTGTGTCTGTCCCTCAGAGAATCGGGGGGGCTCAGCCAGTGGAGGAGTTCGGTGGTGGAGCACATCTTCAGGAGCCCTAAAGAGCTGCTGAAGCTCAGCGTGCCGTCGGTGGTTTACGCCGTCCAGAACAACATGGCCTTCCTCGCCCTGAGCAACCTGGACGCCGCAGTGTACCAGGTTCACACCTTAATGACCGCAGTTATTCAGCAATAAGAACTATTTTATTGGAAACCTTTGTTTGTTTCCAGTGAAAGGAAAAAAACGTGTTTTAAAAGCATTTAGAGCATCAGTCATCAGGTGTACAGGTGAGATTTAGCTTTAGACCGTAGTCGATAAAAACAATAGAATAAAAACCTTGTAAAAGTTGGGAAAAGTACAGACTAGCAGGCTGCAGTCAGGTGCTTTAGTCCAGCGTTTCTCAGTCCTGGTCCTGGTCCTGGACACTCGCTGCTCTGCACTATTTATGGTTTCTGTGCTCCCAGCACATCTGATCCAGCTAATCAGCTCATTAACAGCCCATTACTCAGTTAAAGTGGCAGAAGAAGCACTTAACCGTGCAGGACCAGGGCTGAGAAACGCTGCTCAGTCCATGTTTGTAGATAATTTTGGTTACGCTCACATTACATCACATCAGATCTGAAGTTTTGCTCAGATCTGATCTCCCTAACATGACGGTTCACTCTCGTTTAGCTAAGTGATTCAAATCTGTCATTAATGTGACGAACCAGCGTCCTGAAATGACCCTCATGAGCTCATCCTACTCAGTAACGTCACGTGAATGAATCACGTTCATCATCAGCACAAACTAACGAGCAGAACGAGCTTCACTGAGAAGATAATTAACTCTGATCAGCTCTCAGCTTCATTATTAGAGCGAGACGAAGGAGAAAAAGGTGAGATGAGCTGCTTTTCCACCGTTTACAGGCTTTATCTTCAGGTGATGGTGGAGAAAAACACGAATTCCGATCTGAGCGTCACTTTAACATCACATGGACATGAATCGGATACATATCTGATCTAGGACCACATATGAAAGGCTGCATTCACACAGCAGGTAAAAGTGACCCAAATCTGATTTATTTGTCAGGCTGTTCACACTGTCTTTTAAATGTGACGTATGTCTGACCTCAGTCTGATCAGATCAGCTCCTAAACTGACCCTCATGCTAGAACGAAGCTTCTCGCGGCTCATCCAGAGATAGACAGACAGAATGGAGTGAACAGTATCAGACACCCCACAGAAACATCAGACCAGATATTTGAGGTCGCAGCAGCATGTAATGATGACGAGTAATCGAATTGGATTGACTGAGTCACATTGCTGCAGATCGGATACGCATTGGATTTCAGTACCACATATAAAGGCGTCTCAAATCTGAACCGAAGATGTCAGATTCAGTGTTAATCTGTTCACACACACCTGTGTCACATATGAGGACAAAGATCAGATTTTGGCCACTTTTATCTGCGGAGTGATAAAACCCAAAGCGGCTCAGGACTGATTTCAAAAGATCAGATTTGTGTACACACTGCTTTTTGAGTCATGTTAGGGCAAAAATCGGATTTGAGCCACTTTATCCTGCTAATGTGAACACTAGGCTACGTTAACATTACCAGGCTGAAGTGGCACAAATCTGATTTTTTGCCCTGATGTGACTCAGATATGTTTTCAGGGCTGTGTGGACACAAATCTGATCTTTTCAAATCCGACCTGAGCCACTTTCATATGTGGTCCTAGATCAGATACGTATCCGATTCATGGCCATGCGACCTTAATGTGACACTCAGATCGGAATTAATGTGCTTTTTTTCTGCTGCTCCATCATTCAGCGTTACCATGGCAACAGCGCCGAACAGAAGAAAAGCAGCTCATCTCACCTTTTTCTCCTTCGTCTCGCTCTAATAATGAAGCTGAGAGCTGATCAGAGTTAATTATCTTCTCAGCGAAGCTCGTTCTGCTCGTTAGTTTGTGCTGATGATGAACGTGATTCGTTCACGTGACGTTACTGAGTAGGATGAGCTCATGAGGGTCATTTCAGGACGCCGGTTCGTCACATTAATGACAGATTTGAATCACTGACCTAAACGAGTGTGAACCATCGAGTCAGAGAGATCGGATTTGAGCAACGAGGCTTGTATTGTGAACGTAGCCCTAGTGAGTCATACAGAGTCAGAAACCACAGAATCTTGAGGGGGGATTTTTCTCTGAACTGTCGCTCCTTTGACTCAGGTGACGTATCAGCTGAAGATCCCCTGCACTGCTCTGTGTACGGTGCTGATGCTGAACCGTTCCCTTAGCCGCCTGCAGTGGTTCTCCGTCTTCATGCTGTGTGCGGGGGTCACTCTGGTCCAGTGGAAGCCTGCCGAGCTCACCAAAGTCCAGGTGAGATTGCACTCCTGCTTTCACACAGGACTGAGTACAGTTAAAACGCAGGCTGTGTCCCAATTCTACTCTCAGCACTCATTCTGCTCCTCGATGTAGAGTGTGAAAGCGGAGTATTTAAAGGTTCACTAGGGACGCACGATAAACTGTCCTCGTTGCCGTTATTGTGATACGAGTTTCTGTGTTAGACGTGTTGTTAAGTCATGCTGACTGAACAGGTCAGATTCCTGCACATGGAGCATCAGACTGACGTAACTGGACTGGCGGGAATGAAGCGTTAGAGGCCCAACGAGTGTTTCCTGGCGCTGGGCTTGAACCCTGACCTCCCGCATGGAGAATGTCTGCAAACAGCTGTGGTTTAGCTTTCATAACTGTGTGACATATCTGTGTGTTTATCTAACGGACATCAGACACACATCACAGCCATCAGCAGATCCTGTCCTGTCTAGCCTGTCTGTGAGATCACTGAGCTGTGACCCAGCAGCGGCGAGTAACCCGGCTCCAAAAACCACCTCACATCCACTCGCCAGTGATTTCAGGGTGTTTACATGCACTTAATAATCCGATAACTTCAGAAAAACAGAGATTTTGTCAGTAATCTGATCAAGTTTACATGAGTAATCAGATAATGTGAAAACTCCTGAGTCGTATTACAGAAACAGCTTAACTCTGAAATCTGATTTGTTCGGATGGTATCTATTCCAGAATATCAGCTCCTACCTTCATAATCTCATCATGAACTCCAGATAAGAAAACAGCATCACACAAACATCCTAACTAGACTAAACCTCCTAAATCCTGTCCTAACTTTAGGATGAACCCCAACAGGGTCCTCACTTCTGTTTAAGGTCTGTTTCTATGGTTTTTAGGCAGCTGAGTCAGCAGCATAGTTCACTACCAGCATAATGAGCTCCATTTATTCCTACTGTAAAACGCTGCTTTCACTGTGAGATGATTTTCTTTTCTAACTCTGCGTTTTAAAGATCTCAGACGCTGCAGACTCGATCTCCACCGCCCCTCTGATCACCTTCGTGTGTTAATGTTGATGATGAAATATTACAGTGATGGTGGTGAATAATGAGGAGACGGAGCTGAACGTGTGTCTGTTTATTAGGAGGAGTTGCTGCACCACAGACTAGTTTAACCCTACAGGTGATTAAGTTGGTTGTTTTGTGTGACGCGGCTGTAGTTCCACCCCTCGGCACGCTGGCCTTACACACAGTACGAGTAGCTGTCCTGCTTTCTGGCATTTCCAGACTAGATTCTCTCCAAACAAACGACATTTTAGTCAAACCAACAGCTGACGTCTTTTGCTCACTCAGTTACCCTGCATTCACCCCGGCAGCGACGCCACACGACGAATCAGCCAGGTCATTCATTTCACAGACTGAAGTTGCCGTGGGTTCATGGTAAGATGTGTAATGGAATCCGGATCGGTGACGTGTCTCATGTTACGTTACGTTACGGCGGGTTCACGGTCCAGCGCAAGCTGCTGACTGGAATCTGGATCAGTTAGTGGAAGTAAGTCATCCAACATCTGATGAGTGAATATCAATATCGGACCTGATACCAGTATAGAATCGGGCCGGACCCATCTCTACATCTTTACTAATCTGAAGCTCTAAACGCTGTGATTTTCCTCACGGCTCTAATCGTCGCCCCGGTTTAAACTCGTGATTTAGCATGGAGCTAATCACCCACAGCTCTCAGCAGCTGCACAAACGGCTGAACTGAGGCTGCTGTTGTGTCGGTTATCCAGAAACCGGCGTTTAAAACGCTGCATCTTTGGTTTCTCAGTGAAATATTAAAGAATACACAGACGGCGGCTGTGGATCATCAGTTTATTCAGAGACCCGAGACCAGCTCTGTTTAGCTCTGTTCGGGTAACCTGCTGTTTTGGTCTGGACCAAACTGAAAAGTCCGAAGGTCCTAACCAAACGAGGGAGTGGAAGCTTCCTAAATCAAATCTCACTGCATCAAACACGTCTTTCTCAGTCCTGTAGGCCGACGGTCTGAGAGACGTGAGGTTAATGACTGTAGAGTTTAATGGGGGTTTACCGCGCTGTGGTAAAGCTGCAGTGTTTACAGTGTTCTGTCTGAGTGTTGATTCAGACACGGCCGTAAACTCACGAACCGTACGGGAGCTCAGAGACGAGACCGGAACACGTTTACAGCCCGGATTCCTGCACTGACTGCGTGAGAACATCACAACAAATGATACCTCCCCACGCGAGAACTCAGGAAACATCACAACACGGAGGAAGGAACGTCTGTGAGAAGTTCGGGAGTGGAGGTCACGGCCACGTCCTGCAGGAATCAGGACCCTTAGAGTCGCTTCACCATAGTTGAAGAGTCTGTTTGTCTGTGCTGTGTAAAGAGTTCAGTATTTAAAGGCCTTATATTGTTTATATTGTTTATAATGTTTAACAAATGAATTTACTATTTAAACATAAACCAACATATTTACATATTTCCAACTACTTAACCTACAGCAGGTTAGCCCCGCCCACTCACAGTGAAATTACAGATTCGAATGGGGCATAATATAGGACAGCCAATCAGAACAGAGCTCATTTACATACATCAGTCTTAAAGACACAGTAATAGAAACACTTAAATCTAAGGCAGGGGTGTCAAACTCGACCACTAAAAGGGTCATATTAAAAAATCTCAACAAATCTGTGGGACAGCTGTGTTTTTATTTTGCCACGACCCCAACTGACCACTCTTTATTCAAAACTACAACAGCAAAATAGGCACCAAATACTTATTCAAAAATAATTCTAAATATAAATAAATTGTTTTAGGTGTTTTTTAAACGGCCTGTTTGCTTGAACTGGACACCAGGCCTCTGTTCTTTTTGTGTAACTGCCCACAGACTGTTGTTGGGGATCAGAACAGACACTGTGTTGCAGTGCATGCTGGGGACTGTAGTGCTTCTCAGTGTGAAACGGGCTAATAAGAATAGAACTTAAAATACCTTCACTGGCTGAATAGGACTGTATCACGGCCTGACCGAGCCCGCGGGCCTTGTGCTTGACACATGGGTTCTAAAGGATAAGGAGAAGCAAACGGTGCTGAAAGGACTGAAATGAATAAATGATGTCTCTACTGTTCTGACCAGTCAGTGTGCACTACTGACCTTTTTCAAAAATATGAAAAACTAGCAAAAATGTGAAGGATGTTATCGTGATTTTCCTGCAGAACAAGACTGGACACAACAATAACCTCATAAAACTGGAATCACATTAAAAATCTATTAGTGAACACTGACTGACTCAGTTACAGCAGGATTTCACCATCAGGGTTAAAATGTGAACAAACCTATGGATCTGATCAGGTTCTGCTGCGGTCAGAGTTCTCTCTGTGTGTGAAGGTGTCTGTGTGTCCAGCAGCTGGAGTGTCCAGTTAATCTGAGCTGCTGTTCAATCTGTCCGCAGGTGGAGCAGAACCCGTTTGTGGGTTTCGTGGCCGTGGCTGTCGCCGTTCTGTGTTCTGGATTTGCAGGTATAAACTCTGTTTATGTATTTTCTCACTTATTTAAACTATACAGGCCAGACGTGTGTCAGCAGCGCTGACTGTAGCTCCATAGTTCAGGCATGTGCTTTAGGCTCGGTTAACCAGAAGGGCTTAAACAGTGTAGAAATATAAACCCCTCTCTCTCTCTCTCTGTCTCTCTCTCTGTCTCTCTCTCTCTGTGTCTCTCTCTCTGTCTCTCTCTCTGTCTCTCTCTCTCTGTGTCTCTCTCTCTGTGTCTCTCTCTCTGTCTCTCTCTCTCTGTGTCTCTCTCTCTGTCTCTGTGTTCAGGTGTGTACTTCGAGAAGGTGCTGAAGAGCTCTGATACGTCTCTGTGGGTGAGGAACATTCAGATGTATCTGTCTGGTATCGTGGTGACTCTGGCGGGGGTGTATATGACTGACGGGCCGCAGGTGATGGAGAAAGGCTTCTTCTACGGATACACACTGTCCGTCTGCTTCGTCATCTGTGAGTCACACACACACACATACACACACACACACACACACACACACACATACACATACACACACACACACACACACACACTCACACACACACACATACACTGGTAAATCTTAATTGATTTTTTCAGCTCTTGGACTACACTTTAATATGTCCAGAAAAAAGCCACATTAGCTGTTCAACTCATTATTTATTAACTGTTTATGAATAATAAATAATACAATTTTAGATCTTAATTGTAATATTGTATAGAGAATCTGAGTTCTCAGTACATATGACTTTAAATGAACCCATGATAATCAATAAACAGTATGATTATCTGTGTCCAGATAGTCGATGCATTAGAGTTTACAGTAATATCTCAGTGTCCTGTGTGAAATGTGGTGAAGTTGTATATGATGTAATAATGTTGGTGTTATAGCTCCACTGACCTCTGTGTGTGTGTGTGTGTGTGTGTGTGTGTGCGTGCGTGCGTGTGTAGTCTTGGCGAGTGTTGGTGGTCTGTACACCTCAGTGGTGGTGAAGTACACCGATAACATCATGAAGGGTTTCAGCGCTGCCGCAGCCATCATCCTGTCCACCATCGCGTCCGTCACACTCTTCGGCCTGCAGATCAGTGAGTCCATCTACATCTACAGCATCACTACACACTGCCCTCTGTTACACACTGTTACACACTGCCCTCTGTTACACACTGTTACACACTGCCCTCTGATACACACTGTTACACACTGCCCTCTGATACACTGTTACACACTGCCCTCTGATACACACTGCCCTCTGTTACACACTGTTACACACTGCCCTCTGTTACACACTGTTACACACTGCCCTCTGATACACACTGTTACACACTGCCCTCTGTTACACACTGTTACACACTGCCCTCTGTTACACACTGTTACACACTGCCCTCTGATACACACTGTTACACACTGCCCTCTGTTACACACTGTTACACACTGCCCTCTGATACACACTGTTACACACTGCCCTCTGATACACACTGTTACACACTGCCCTCTGTTACACACTGTTACACACTGCCCTCTGATACACACTGTTACACACTGCCCTCTGATACACACTGTTACACACTGCCCTCTGTTACACACTGTTACACACTGCCCTCTGTTACACACTGTTACACACTGCCCTCTGATACACACTGTTACACACTGCCCTCTGATACACTGTTACACACTGCCCTCTGATACACACTGCCCTCTGTTACACACTGTTACACACTGCCCTCTGTTACACACTGTTACACACTGCCCTCTGATACACACTGTTACACACTGCCCTCTGTTACACACTGTTACACACTGCCCTCTGTTACACACTGTTACACACTGCCCTCTGATACACACTGTTACACACTGCCCTCTGTTACACACTGTTACACACTGCCCTCTGATACACACTGTTACACACTGCCCTCTGATACACACTGTTACACACTGCCCTCTGTTACACACTGTTACACACTGCCCTCTGATACACACTGTTACACACTGCCCTCTGATACACACTGTTACACACTGCCCTCTGATACACACTGTTACACACTGCCCTCTGTTACACACTGTTACACACTGCCCTCTGATACACTGTTACACACTGCCCTCTGATACACACTGTTACACACTGCCCTCTGTTACACACTGTTACACACTGCCCTCTGATACACACTGTTACACACTGCCCTCTGTTACACACTGTTACACACTGCCCTCTGTTACACACTGTTAAACACTGCCCTCTGATACACACTGTTACACACTGCCCTCTGATACACACTGTTACACACTGCCCTCTGTTACACACTGTTACACACTGCCCTCTGATACACACTGTTACACACTGCCCTCTGATACACTGTTACACACTGCCCTCTGTTACACACTGTTACACACTGCCCTCTGTTACACACTGCCCTCTGTTACACACTGCCCTCTGTTACACACTGTTACACACTGCCCTCTGATACACAGTTACACACTGCCCTCTGATACACTGTTACACACTGCCCTCTGTTACACACTGTTACACACTGCCCTCTGTTACACACTGTTAAACACTGCCCACTGTTACACACTGCTACACACTGCCCTCTGTTACACACTGTTACACACTGCCCTCTGATACACACTGCACTCTGATACACACTGTTACACACTGCACTCTGATACACACTGTTACACACTTACACACTGCACTCTGATACACACTGTTACACACTGCACTCTGATACACACTGTTACACTGTTACACACTGCCCTCTGTTACACACAGTTACACACTGCCCTCTGATACACACTGTTACACACTGCCCTCTGTTACACACTGTTACACACTGCCCTCTGTTACACACTGTTACACACTGCACTCTGATACACTGTTACACACTGCCCTCTGTTACACACTGTTACACACTGCACTCTGATACACACTGTTACACAGTGCACTCTGATACACACTGTTACACTGTTACACACTGCCCTCTGTTACACACAGTTACACACTGCCCTCTGATACACACTGTTACACACTGCCCTCTGTTACACACTGCCCTCTGTTACACACTGTTACACACTGCCCTCTGTTACACAGTTACACACTGCCCTCTGATACACACTGTTACACACTGTTACACACTGTTACACACTGCCCTCTGATACACACTGTTACACACTGCCCTCTGTTACACACTGTTACACACTGCCCTCTGTTACACACTGTTAAACACTGCCCTCTGTTACACACTGTTACACACTGCCCTCTGTTACACACTGCCCTCTGTTACAGTTACACACTGCCCTCTGATACACACTGTTACACACTGCCCTCTGTTACACACTGTTACACACTGCCCTCTGATACACAGTTACACACTGCACTCTGATACACACTGTTACACACTGCCCTCTGATACACACTGCCCTCTGTTACACACTGTTACACACTGCCCTCTGTTACACACTGTTACACACTGCCCTCTGATACACACTGTTACACACTGCCCTCTGTTACACACTGTTACACACTGCCCTCTGATACACACTGTTACACACTGCCCTCTGTTACACACTGTTACACACTGCCCTCTGTTACAGTTACACACTGCCCTCTGATACACACTGTTACACACTGCACTCTGATACACACTGTTACACTGTTACACACTGCCCTCTGTTACACACAGTTACACACTGCCCTCTGATACACACTGTTACACACTGCCCTCTGTTACACACTGCCCTCTGTTACACACTGTTACACACTGCCCTCTGATACACACTGTTACACACTGCCCTCTGATACACACTGTTACACACTGCCCTCTGTTACACACTGTTAAACACTGCCCTCTGTTACACACTGTTACACACTGCCCTCTGTTACACACTGTTACACACTGCCCTCTGATACACACTGTTACACACTGCCCTCTGTTACACACTGTTACACACTGCCCTCTGTTACACACTGTTAAACACTGCCCTCTGTTACACACTGTTACACACTGCCCTCTGTTACACACTGTTACACACTGCCCTCTGTTACAGTTACACACTGCCCTCTGATACACACTGTTACACACTGCCCTCTGTTACACACTGTTACACACTGCCCTCTGATACACACTGTTACACACTGCACTCTGATACACACTGTTACACACTGCCCTCTGATACACACTGCTCTCTGTTACACACTGTTACACACTGCCCTCTGTTACACACTGTTACACACTGCCCTCTGTTACACACTGTTACACACTGCCCTCTGATACACACTGTTACACACTGCCCTCTGTTACACACTGTTACACACTGCCCTCTGTTACAGTTACACACTGCCCTCTGATACACACTGTTACACACTGTTACACACTGCCCTCTGATACACACTGTTACACACTGCCCTCTGATACACACTGTTACACACTGCCCTCTGTTACACAGTTACACACTGCCCTCTGATACACACTGTTACACACTGCCCTCTGTTACACACTGTTAAACACTGCCCTCTGATACACACTGTTACACACTGCCCTCTGATACACACTGTTACACACTGCCCTCTGATACACACTGCCCTCTGTTACACAATGTTACACACTGCTACACACAGTTACACACTGCCCTCTGATACACACTGTTACACACTGCCCTCTGATACACACTGCCCTCTGTTACACAATGTTACACACTGCTACACACTGCCCTCGGATACACACTGTTACACACTGCCCTCTGATACACAGTTACACACTGCCCTCTGATACACACTGTTACACACTGCCCTCTGTTACACAATGTTACACACTGCTACACACTGCCCTGTTACAGTTACACACTGCCCTCTGTTACACAGTGTTACACTGCTACACACTGCACTGTTACACACAGTTACACACTGCTCTCTGTTACACACTGTTACACACTGCCCTCTGTTACACACTGTTACACACTGCCCTCTGTTACACAATGTTACACACTGTTACACACTGCCCTGTTACAGTTACACACTGCCCTCTGTTACACTGCTACACACTGCACTGTTACACACAGTTACACACTGCCCTGTTACACAGTTACACACTGCCCTGTTACACACTGTTACACACTGCCCTGTTACACACTGTTACACACAGTTACACACTGCCCTCTGTTACACAATGTTACACACTGCCCTCTGTTACACAGTTACACACTGCCCTCTGTTACACAATGTTACACACTGCCCTCTGATACACAATGTTACACACTGCTCTCTGTTACACCGTTACACACTGTTACACACTGCCCTGTTACACAATGTTACACACTGCCCTCTGTTACACACTGTTACACTGTTACACACTGCCCTGTTACACAATGTTACACACTGCCCTCTGTTACACACTGTTACACTGTTACACACTGCCGTCTGTTACACAATGTTACACACTGCTACACACTGATCTCTGTTACACACTGCCCTCTGTTACACAGTTACACTGTTAATGGGAACAGAAGCTGAGAGTTTGCTGTGGTTAAAACTGCCTGAATACAGTGTTTTTCTGCCCACAGCTGTGACCTTCGCCTCGGGAGCCTTACTGGTGTGCGTGTCCATCTACCTGTACGGACTGCCCAAGCAGGACACCACCGCTCTGACGAGACCCGACAACAAGACGGCCAAACAGAAGCTGATATCGGTGTAAAGACTCCCGAAAAGAGAAAGCAGGGTTTTAGAACAAGTTCCAGTTCTCCGATCTCTCGACTGAATTCGTAAAAACGCAGTGCTTTATTTCTGCTCTGTGTACTGACCCGACCCGGAGAGCAGGAAGACACACTAATCACTTCATCGACATGGCCTTTTCCTAACGAGGAGGACAGGGGCCTGCATTTCTGTCGTTTTCTACCCAGACCCGTCGTTTCTGATAAGGAACCGTTCAGTGTTCTTCTAACCTGATCTCTATCTGCTGTAGGTGCAGCGGACGGTCAGTCACCACGGAAAATAACGTCAGGATGTTTCCCTGAACTCGGAAAAGAGCTGAGAGTTCAGGGTAACGTGGTGAAATGACTGTGGTAACTGACTGTTATACTGCAGAAAGAGATGAGGTTGAACAGTTCTGACCTTCCCCTTTAATGTCACTGTTGACTCGTTCATCAACGCCAAACCTGCTGAATGTATGTGAGGCTGCATTAGCCTGTCTGACGATCATGTTCTACTGCAGTCTGTCGCAGAAGGACGGAGTATTTCCTGTATGTACTGTAACGCAGTGTTGTTTTAGTGCTAATCGAATGTTTGAATTAATACAATAGAACTGATTCACATGAAGCAAACAGGCTCCTTCTGCAGGGCGAAACATGCAAAACAGGTTTTCCTCTGCACCCAATCACATAACATGGGTTTGAACGTGTCATAGTCGTGTGATCAACTCACAAATAGCCTGCATCAGTATATAAATGTGGCTATAATTCAGAATAAGAAGTAATCAGACGCATATCAGATTCGTACAGAGCCCTGCTGGCCACGTCTCGTATAAATGAAAATAATGCAGGGCCACAACCGAGTAAGGTGTGGGAATGAGATAATAAGCCTTGACTACAGCTTAATAGGGCATTATCTTGTTCCCATGCCTTACTAAGTCATGGCTGCCCTGTATTGATATTTCTATGTGATGTCACCAGCAGGGCTCCGTAGCTACGCGGCCACACAAAGTATGATGGTGTAATTATTCACAATCAGGATTGAAAACGTTCACTATGGATTTGACTTGGGCTTGTTTTTCTACACTAAGACGTTCATGTTTTATAAGACTGTGCTGTCCGTGTGCAAACAGAGTCGAGTCATAAACCACCAGTATTTCACACTGAGTGTCTCCCGAGTCTTCTTGTAAAAAACAGGACGTGTTTGAGTGGTTCAGCGTGTTTAAATACTGTTTTAGGTCATTTAAATTATAATAAATCTTTTTAAATACAGTTTTTATAGTTTTTAATCACGTTAATAGAAATGATTGACCCACAGAATGTCCACATTGAGTCATTACAGAGGCTCATGTAATAGGCTGATATAGATCATATCCAGCAGTGCTGATGCTGTTACCAACTTCACTGCTAATATCGCTGCTGTCAGAACGAAACCTCACATCTCCAAAATGGTGACTTTACAGGAGAAGGAAAAAACCTACTGTACTTTTAATGTAAGTCAATGGAACCAGACGTCTTTCCAAGTCATTCTGGGTTGTTTCGTTTGGTCCATTCATCATGAAACTTACACACAATGTAAAGAACAACAGGCTTTTTCAGATCATGATAAAAACTGAAAACAACAACAAAAATGGAGATTTGCGTTTTGTTCAGCAGTGATATGTTGGTATTTTACAGCAATAATAACGGCTTCACCAAAACCACAAGCGTCATAACTGAAGCTCATCTGTCTGAAGCTGAAAACAAAGTTGAAACCGGTTCTTCGGTTTAGTAAAAGTTCACAGGGAAATTCTTCATCATCGTTTAATGTAATTTCATCTGAGCCAGAAAACAGGCTCTACAGCGCCACACAGAGGCTTTACAGTGTTCATTTTTTATTTATCCTATAAAAACGTTCACATCTTATCCACCGGTGTGATGCCCAGAATCTTCATCCCATTGGCCAGGACTGAGCATGTGCAGGAGAAGAGGCGGAGCCTGGCCTATGAGTCAGAAAAAAGAGGCGGGGTTACCAGGAGAGAGAAATGAGTGAAAACTACTTCTCTAGTAGCAGCAAATCACTTCCAGAATAAAGTTCTGATAAAGTTAATATCCAGAATGATGGAGTTATGATGGAGTGATGAGGGAGTAATGATGGTGTATTGATGGTGTAATGATGGTGTAATGATGGAGTATGATGGGAGTATGATGGTGTAATGATGGAGTAAAGATGGTGTAATGATGGAGTATGATGGTGTAATGGTGGAGTAATGATGGAGTATGATGGTGTAATTGTGTAATGATGGTGTAATCATGGAGTATGATGGTGTAATGATGGAGTATGATGGGAGTATGATGGTGTAATGATGGAGTAATGGTGTAATGATGGAGTATGATGGTGTAATTGTGTAATGATGGTGTAATGATGGAGTATGATGGTGTAATGGTGTAATGATGGAGTATGATGGTGTAATGATGGAGTAAAGATGGTGTAATGGAGTATGATGGTGTAATGGAGTATGATGGTGTAATGGTGTATGATGGTGTAATGGAGTATGATGGTGTAATTGTGTAATGATGGTGTAATGATGGAGTATGATGGAGTGATGATGGTGTAATGATGGAGTATGATGGTGTAATTGTGTAATGATGGTGTAATGGAGTATGATGGTGTAATGGAGTATGATGGTGTAATTGTGTAATGATGGTGTAATGGAGTATGATGGTTTAATGGAGTACGATGGTGTAATGGTGTATGATGGTTTAATGGAGTACGATGGTGTAATTGTGTAATGATGGTGTAATGGAGTATGATGGTTTAATGGAGTACGATGGTGTAATGGTGTATGATGGTTTAATGGAGTACGATGGTGTAATTGTGTAATGATGGTGTAATGGAGTATGATGGTGTAATGGTGTATGATGGTGTAATTGTGTAATGATGGTGTAATGGAGTATGATGGTGTAATGGTGTAATGATGGTGTAATGGAGTATGATGGTGTAATGGAGTATGATGGTGTAATTGTGTAATGATGGTGTAATGGAGTATGATGGTGTAATGGAGTATGATGGTGTAATTGTGTAATGATGGTGTAATGGAGTACGATGGTGTAATTGTGTAATGATGGTGTAATGGTGTATGACGGTGTAATGGAGTATGATGGTGTAATGGTGTATGATGGTGTAATGGAGTATGATGGTGTAATGGAGTATGATGGTGTAATTGTGTAATGATGGTGTAATGGTGTATGATGGTGTAATAGAGTATGATGGTGTAATGGTGTATGATGGTGTAATGGAGTATGATGGTGTAATTGTGTAATGATGGTGTAATGGAGTATGATGGTGTAATGGTGTATGATGGTGTGATGGTGTATGATGGTGTAATTGTGTAATGATGGTGTATGATGGTGTAATTGTGTAATGATGGTGTATGATGGTGTAATTGTGTAATGATGGTATAATGGTGTATGATGGTGTAATGGAGTACGATGGTGTAATGGTGTATGATGGTGTAATGGAGTACGATGGTGTAATGGTGTACGATGGTGTAATGGTGTATGATGGTGTAATGGAGTATGATGGTGTAATGGTGTATGATGGTGTAATGGTGGAGTATGATGGTGTAATGGAGTATGATGGTGTAATGGAGTATGATGGTGTAATGGTGGAGTATGATGGTGTAATTGTGTAATGATGGTGTAATGGAGTATGATGGTGTAATGGAGTATGATGGTGTAATGGTGTATGATGGTGTAATGGTGTATGATGGTGTAATGGAGTATGATGGTGTAATTGTGTAACGATGGTGTAATGGTGGAGTATGATGGTGTAATGGTGTATGATGGTGTAATGGTGTATGATGGTGTAATGGAGTATGATGGTGTAATGGTGTATGATGGTGTAATGGAGTATAATGGTGTAATGGTGTATGATGGTGTAATGGTGTATGATGGTGTAATGGTGTATGATGGTGTAATGGAGTATAATGGTGTAATGGTGTATGATGGTGTGATGGTGTATGATGGTGTAATTGTGTAATGATGGTGTATGATGGTGTAATTGTGTAATGATGGTGTATGATGGTGTAATGGAGCATGATGGTGTAATGGAGTATGATGGTGTAATGGTGGAGTATGATGGTGTAATTGTGTAATGATGGTGTAATGGAGTATGATGGTGTAATGGAGTATGATGGTGTAATGGTGTATGATGGTGTAATGGAGTATAATGGTGTAATGGTGTATGATGGTGTAATGGAGTATAATGGTGTAATGGTGTATGATGGTGTAATGGAGTATAATGGTGTAATGGTGTATGATGGTGTAATGGTGTAATGATGGTGTAATGGTGGAGTATGATGGTGTAATGGAGTATGATGGTGTAATGGTGTATGATGGTGTAATGGAGTATAATGGTGTATGATGGTGTAATGGAGTATGATGGTGTAATGGTGTAATGATGGTGTAATGGTGGAGTATGATGGTGTAATTGTGTAATGATGGTGTAATGGAGTATGATGGTGTAATGGAGTATGATGGTGTAATGGTGTATGATGGTGTAATGGAGTATAATGGTGTAATGGTGTATGATGGTGTAGGTAAGGCAAGATCATTTATAGAGCATCTTTCATACACTGGTCATTCAAAGTGCTTCACAGATGAGAAAATACTAAGATAATTCACATTAGAATATAAATGGAAACCAAAACAACTGTAAACACTGGATTTAAAAGAGTTCAACATTAATCAGATCAAAGCTGAAATGATGATCATAGAGCGGCGTTAGAGGAGAGAAGAGCAGCAGAGCTGACAGAGCTAAACTGAGCTGAAAGCTCTAACAGGATCGTTTTCAGGCTGGTTTAAAGTGTCCAGTGTCGGCTCTTCTAATGCTCTCTGTCCACTGGGTCCATTTAAGAGCAGCACAGTATCTAAACTCTGCTTCTCCATCTTTAGTCTTCACCTTCGGCAGGACTGACTGACCAGTTCCTAATGATCTGAGAGTTCTGCTCGGCTCATATCGCTGCAGCAGGTCAGATAAATACGCTGCTCCTGACCATTGAGACGTTTATAGAGCAGTAACAGCTCCATTAAGCCTATTCTGAACAGACTGGGAACCAGTAGAAGGATTTAAGAATGGGGGGTGGGGGGTCCTTCTGTTACTCCTAGTGAGACTCTGGCAGCTGCATTCTGAACCAGCTGAAGCTGTTAGTCTTTTTTAGGGGTCCAGTTAGGAGACCACTACAGTGATCCTGCTGGAAATAAGGCGTGGGTGAGTTTCTGCTTTAGTCTGATCTCTGATTGTGTTGATGTTCTAAAGGTGATAACACGCTGATTTAGTAACTGCTCTGACACCAAGGTTAAGTACTAGATCTTTAGATTTCAGGGCTCTCGAATCCAGACAGGCAGCCAGTCTGAGCCTCTCATTGCTATTCCTGAATAAAATAATCTGTTTTATTTTTATTCAACTGCAGAAAGTTTTGTTCCATCCAGTTAGTGATGAGCTCAAGCCACTTACAGAGTGAGTCAAGGGGACCACAGTTGTTTGGGGAGAGGGCCGAGTAGAACTATCATCTGAATAGCTGTGGTAAGATCTCCCATAGTCTTGTAGGATTTGGCCAAGAGGCAGTATGTATAAACTGATTAAGAGTGGCCCAAGAATTGAACCCTGGGGGACACCACAGGTCACTGGCACTCTCTCAGGAACATTATTTTCGGTTTCCACGAAGTAGTCCCTTGATTGCAGGTATGAACTGAACCATTTTAGGACAGTTCCTGAGAGCCCAACCCAGTTCTCAAGTCTATCTATGAGAATTTTATGGTCAATGGTATCAAAGGCAGCGCTGAGAGCGAGCAGTAATAGAACAGATGTTTTTCCAGAGTCTGTATTTAAGCGAATGGCATTAACAAGTTTAATTAAAGCTGTTTCAATGTTTTAATGATGTGTAATGGTGTCATGGTGGTGTAATGGTGGTGTCATGGTGGTGTAATGGTGGTGTAATGGTGGTGTTATAGTGTAATGTGGTGTCATGGTGGTGTAATGGTGGTGTTATGATGTATTGGTGGTGTTATGATGATGTAATGGTGGTGTCATGGTGGTGTAATGGTGTTGTTATGATGATGTAATGGTGGTGTTATGATGGTATAATGGTGGTGTCATGGTGGTGTTATGATGATGTAATGGTGGTGTTATGCTGGTATAATGGTGGTGTAATGGTGGTGTTATGATGATGTAATGGTGGTGGTATGCTGGTATAATGGTGGTGTCATGGTGTAATATGGTGTCATGGTGGTGTAATGGTGGTGTTATGATGATGTAATGGTGGTGGTATGATAGTATAATGGTGGTGTCATGGTGGTGTAATGTGGTGTCATGGTGGTGTAATGGTGGTGTTATGATGGTATAATGGTGGTGTCATGGTGTAATGTGGTGTCATGGTGGTGTAATGGTGGTGTTATGATGATGTAATGGTGGTGTTATGATGATGTAATGGTGGTGTTATGGTGGTGTTATGATGATGTAATGGTGGTGTTATGATGATGTAATGGTGGTGTCATGGTGGTGTAATGTGATGTTACCTGAGCCACCTCAGCAGGGCTTCCCTTCACTGGGAGCTCTCTGTGGGCAGACGCTGCCAGGTGGCTGAAGAAACACAAAGCTAATTAGCAAAGCTCATTTTTGGATTTCAGCTCATTTTTATGTTTGGATTTGAGATACTAATATTACTATTAAACTTTATTAATCTTATTTATTTTTATTATCATCATTATTATTAGCATTATTGGTTTGTACCTCAGAGTGATGAGGAAGTTGACCAGGTGCCGTGGCTGCAGGTCCAATGCAGACTGAAGGAGAACCTCATCATACCTGAGACAGACAGAAATATGTGGACAAACAGACAAACATTATTAAATGCGTATTATATATGCATAAAAACCTCATTATTACTCACACAACAATAAAGTACATAACTGAGAAAACAGTTTTAGAAATTCAAACGTTTCAATAAACATTTCAATAATAATGTGAATTTAGCTGTTATGATCTGTATCTGTGCTGTGTTTTTGGAGGCTGTATCTAACTGGAGCTCTAGGTTCTCGTCTGAGGAACCGCAGGAACAGCTGTGATGCTGTGAGCAGGAGGAACGTTGTACCTCAGAAGGTGCTGCAGGATTGAGATGCTCCTGCTGTCCTGAAGGTGAGACGGATTGAAGTGCGTGTGATTCCCGCTTCCATGCATCGTCAGCAAGCTGGAGCCAATCACAACACAGTTTCAATGTGTGTGTGTGTGTATATATAAATATATATATATATATATACACACACACACACACACACGTATATGTATATACACACACACACACACACACACACACATATGTAATCTGCAGAGAGTCAGTAAAGCGTGGGACCTGCGCAGGCGAGCGTGTGTGTACTGCAGAAACACTCCTGTGTCTCCCTGAGCCTGCAGGACCTTCTGCCAATCAAACTTATAATCAGAAATCAGCGGCCCTTTGAAGTCCTGAAACAAACACACACACAGATATCAATCAATCAATCAATCAATCAACCAAACCTTATTTAATCTCTGAGTCCACTGAGGGAGACAGTAAACAGTAAAAACATTATTATTGTTTTTTTTAGCATTTGTTAATCATAATAGTAAAAAAAAAACCCATTAAATCAATAAACCACTGAAATTACACAAAATAGCAACGTAACAAATAAGATAAAATAAGAATAAATAAAAAATAATTAATAAAGAATAAATAAAGAAATAAAACAATATTAGCAAATAAATAAAAGGACAAAAACGATAAAAAAAATTATGATGAAAAATGATAAAATTTAATAAAAATGAAACAACAACTAAAAACATACTAAAACCATCACTTTAAAAGTTCAGTAAAAGCTCTCGGCAGCTGAAGGCTGATCCGATCACTGAACGAGTCTGATACACTGCATTATTTACACTGAGCGTTTCTGTGATACATGATGGCGTACATATATAATATATATGAGCTTTACAGACAAAAAGAGGCCAAAGTGTCTCCCAACACACAGACAGAGATGATGGACACTGTATGGGTCAGCAGTAATGAGTCTTAAAGTAGCGTGGAGTACAGAGTCTAGAGATTTTAGAGTAGCTGCAGACGCAGATCTGTATATTTTAAATATGGTAAATAAAAGAATAACCAGACACATTATGATGCCGTCACACAGCAATCAGGACTAAATACTGAGAGCTGCACTGTGAGGAACACTGCGCCGCAGGGACTTTGCTGTACGCCGTCTAACTGTTTAGGTGCAGCTTGTTTTTAGGTACATATGGAAAGTGTAATAATACTGTAATAAAACTGTAAAGTATTAAAATACAGTAAAAAATATTGCAGTATAAACAGAATAACAGTGTAGACATTATACATCATTTTCAAACTGATCTCAGATATGAATATTCCTCATAACTACCACAGCTGACAGTTCTGACTGATTAAGTGTGACATTAGCTGACAGAATCACATGGAATAAAAGTTTTTACTTCAAATTAATTCAGAGGTCTAAAAAACTGTAGTCTTGGATTTCTCCCCTACCTGAAAAAAAATAATAAAATAAAAAAAAAAGAGTTGATTAGGGCTGCAAATTTCAAGTACTCTATATATTCTGTAATAAATCTCCTAGTATTATTGGAAATATAACAAAGTACTACAGGGTAATGGAAAACC